AATTAATCAATGTAGTAAATATTATTGTAAAAGAATTTCATTCAAACTGATGAAGCGGCATATATGATGGAGAAATTGAAGAAAGGCCTGAGATATTATATTTCATGTTTTTTCTCTACAAAATTACAAAACCCAGAAGTTAAAATTAAGTGAAGGAAGTATAAAACTATTTTAATTATGTAAGAACAAACACTGTAGTTGAGCAAACCTTAGAAACATAAATCAAAGTGGCACAACCCAAACTTCTTAGTGTGTATATGTGCTAAGAGATTAAATTTCTTATAAGCGGATGTTAAGGTTCAAATATATGTAATTTCTTTAACGCTAAAAAGTTCATCTGCTAGTATGATATCTGTTTGACTTGTTTCCATTTGCTTTCGAGTAGAGCTAGTAATATGGATTAAGCCTGTAGGTTGGATTGATATAAATCAAGCTCATTTTAAAACGGATTTTTCGTGCGCGTAACTACCAAGATCGAACCTGAGACGGCCTAACCCATAGGGTTGGTGGCCGGCTCTTTTTATTTTTTTTTAAATTTTTTCCCTCCCTTCAGATATAATTATGTTTATTCCTTTGGTCCTTTATCTTATTCTTATTATTTAAAATTATCATAATGTAATATATCTTTACTTTATATTATGAATTTTACTTATAACAAAGTTAGTTGAGCAAAAGAAGGTGATTCTACTTATGAAGCTTAACCAAATAATTTCATATCTTCAATCATTCTTCGAATATCAACATTGAATGGTGGCTCATGGCTGAGCACTTGACAGTGATTTATAAAATTACGTTTGTATTATTATTAATTAGATTTGTTATGTTTTAATTTGATATGTTTCTTTATTTAATCATTTAGTATAATGTATCATGTATGCTTATAGTAATATTTTGGAATATTAGAAACTTTAGATTTCATATTTTATTTATGATAATTTTTATATACATATTTTATTTTAAGTGTTTAAAAATTGGAATAAATTTTATTTTAAAAAAACAAAAAGGCACAAAAAAATTTAAAAAAAAAAAAAAAAGTAACGGTTTGGCAGGCCTAACCCACCAACCCACCTTGATAAGCTGAGTTGGTAAAATATCATCCCACTAGAAGTCCATCCTTTTAGAATCGCCCCTCAGTCCTTGAGCCCGTCTAGACCAACCCCTAACCAGCAGATGGCCTGTATTATCGACTCTACTTTTGAGTGTTGGTATTTTCTCTATTTGCTATTAAACTGATGACTGCATCATATTAATTAAGGAATATAATCACAGATATATAGTGTAATGGTGTTTTGTTTCGAAGTCAAAATGTCAAATTTGTAACTATTGAAATGACATGAAAAAGGTTCACGAATTTTGGAGGAGGACCTATATTTAACTTTCATAGGTCACGTTTTTGACTGATTGGCATTACCACGGATTGACCGTGATTATATAAATATATATATATATAATATTTTTCAGATGCAATATGATCAATGCGTCTTTAAAAAGCCGAAAGGGATGGCAGCTTTGTCTTCTTTTGAGTCTCCACTTTACTTCAGTTTTAAGAGTGCTTCTGATATAATCTGATGCATTCTCAAAGTTTCAAGTCATCTCATGACACATTGACCAATATAGTCCAGTACTTGAGCCTGAACCTAGCAAAAAGTGATCGATCACTTGTGTACCTGCTTGTAAGGGGGCTAACAAGTTGAATTTTTATAAAGCACTGCAGACCAAAAAACTGTTTCTCCCTCCCCCGAATTATAAAAGGGATTGTTGCATATATGGTTCCAGAAGCAACAATTTTTTAGGGGAATATGTGCGCTCCTCAAAAATAGTTCATTCCCTCCCTAACCAACTCGCATAAATAACTGGATGATATATATATATATATATATAAATACTAGGCGTAAACATTGGGCATCTCTATACATTAATGATTTAAGAACAAGGCCATAATAATACACACACACACTAATAATAACATAAATCAATCCATACTATATTAATCGTATTTGCAAAAAGAGTTCAGAAGGTGGGACATAATATATAATGAGGTGATGAACAAGCAACTTCCAAAAGATAGACGATACCATGGACTGTACTTGTGGTTTGATTTTGGCGCTCACACACACACACACGCACACAACACATCTCAGGCCATCATTTGAAGAACTCTCATTGAAATCCAGCACTCCATTGCGATCAACATCAAAGGCATTGATCATTGCCACGCACTCATCGTACGACTTCTCGTCTCCCATACGATGCAGCATCCTCTGCAACCCTTTTGGTGTTATGGACCCCGATCCTTTGTCCCACTCGAACATCTCAAATGCCTTCTTCAGATCCTCGTCTTCTTCCTTCGTCATCAGCTTCATGAAATCTTCCATGTCCAGAAGATTGTCTCCGTCTGAATCAAGGTCACGGATCACCCCTTCCGCCTCTTCGTGGGTCAAGTTCTCCCCAATGGACCCGAAATACGACCTGAGTTCATAGGCGGATATTTTGCCGTCTCCGTTGCCGTCGAAACGGCGGAACACCTCCCTCAGTTCATCCTCTCTGGTAATAGGCTTTGGGGTAGATGGTGATGATGACATGGGAGAGGTTGAGGGGTTGGAGGATCTTGATCTGGGTTTTGACTTTGAGCGACCAAGACTGAGTCTGAGACCTGTGTTGGAGAACCACTTGGAGGTGGACGCCATGAACGTAATTGATTGGATAGGGGAAGAATTGGTGTAACTTGTATATACGAAAGGGATTGAGAGAGAGAGAGAGAGAGAGAGAGGATGATGAGGAAGAAAGGATTGGGTATTGAGGATGAAGTTGCGATGAACCTGCAAAAAGGGGGCAGAAGAACCGGGATAACAGAGACATCAGACATGTCAATAAAGCTTACGTGACTTCGCTGCCTCCTAGGAAATTGCATGGTAGCTTCCTCCCAGGTCCCACCTTGCAACCACACTAAGAAATACCTTTCGTGGCATTGAACGTACCTCCATTTTGTTAAGATGTCACGTGTCAGTAAATTTAATTTGACGTGGCAAGAAGCATACAAGTCTTCCGTTCAATTAAGTTTTTTGTTTTGTCAAACTTCCATTAAATTAAGTTGAAAAAGATGTAAGATTTAGGGTTAATGTTAATTATAACTAACTGACAACATTTAATTTGGTTGGCGTTGTACCTCTATTTTGTTAGATGTCACGTTAAAATTTTGATGGCTTTGTGTACAAGCTCATCCTTATTTATAAGAGTGTACATACTCATTTTGACTCTAATCTCACGAGCCTTTAGTTTCCTAATGTCGTCCATGAAGGCATTGATATATTCTTAATTTCCTACTTACAGCTGTGCTTTTCACTTTCATGTACACTCTTATGAATAGGATCTGTGATCTTTTAATTTATACCTCGGTTTGCATCATGCTTAAATCAATTTTTTGAGATTTACGAATAACCTTTTTCCTTTTTTTTTTAATGTTCATTTGTTTTGTGATGTATGATTGATCTATCTCCTCTCTCTGTTTTTTCCTAAAATAATTTTTAATATTTTATGATTTCAAATCAATGTGTTATTCATTTACAAGTTACTCCATTATTTTGCCAAATTAATTTATCAATTCAAGCACGGCACTTGCTTCCAATACATATATAGACACCCTAATCTACTAGCATTCTTAAAGTAAAGATCAATATAGATGTTACTTGGGAAAAATAACATCTATTTGAATCGTATGCTCCCAGAAATAGAACAAACATATATATATATATATATATATATATATATATATGCATGCTTACATGGTTAACTCATGTCGGCTGAAACGTCCTCCATTTAATCCTCCGTTTCATTTCCTTCTGTCCATTTGGTATAGCTGAACTGCCAGAAACCAACAAGTTAATGATTTAAAGCAACCAGAGAAACACCAATCAACTCCTCCTCTGGTCCTATTTATTATACATGTAAGTATATATCTCTACTTGTAATTTTCTCCCTAACGTGTAGATTAATAAAACGCGCTGTTTTCATCATTTCATATCTCAAATTTCTTCTGAACAGTTCTGAAAAATCATCCATTCACTAAAATGGACAAAGTGCAATGAGTCTCGTCTCTAATGCCATTCATAAGGCTCCACCTCACACAGCTGAGGTGAAGGTTGATCAAAGATTTATTATTCTCAATACTTTTTTTTGTTTTTGCCAACAAATTATCCCGTTGGTGTCTGGGGTAGGTTCTGTAGCCAAGTCCAGCCCAGATTAGTTCATACTGGGCTGGGCTTGAAGTAGGTAGAAAGTCAGTCCAATGCAAAATTTCAACAAAAATGAAGAGAAATAGCTGTTCCAATTACATACTGCAAGGTCAACAGCTTGGAATTATAGCTTAATTGTATGGTTTATCCAATTATCGAACTTCTTTGTCCTGCATAAAATTAAGTATGGTCGGAAACCCTTAAAAGGGTTGTGAAAAAAATAAGATGAAAGTAAATAGTAAAACATTAGTTATTTCAGAGGAAGAATTAATGACAAATAAGAAATTCCTAAACAGGTTTTATAATATGTTTTACGTTTTAATGTACTTCAATATGTTTGGCTTTATACAAATTTAATTTAATTAGTGCCAGATTTATAATGTGCACTGAAATTCTAAAATAATTGAGGGGGGAAATTATAAAATTTAGGGGTGGCAATATCATAATAATATATATACATGCGTTTTGGGGGGCTAGAGAGAGTTTGAAAATCTGTAGAATTAACAGGGAACAGTTATACACTTACTCAACGGACGAAAAAGAAACAAGAACGTTGAAGATGATCAGAAATGAATATTTCAAGGATTTCGTAGAAAACTGAAAGAGCTGACCACTTGACTCGTCTTCTCACAGTTTTGCCATACAATAAAGAGCCTATCTTTATTTATTTATTTTTTCTTAATGAGTAATTATTATATGTGTGAGAATGCAAACGCGTGGAGATATAGCTGGAGAAGACGAACTAAGGCGTGGCACCAGAAGTATGCAGTGGTGAGTTTGGGGATTCTCATTGAGGTAGCTTATTGAATTTGCGGTGCCGGTACTCGGCATAGGTTTTTGTTGAAAATTTGGGTGGGTTCCCTTGGTTCACCAGGGGCTGAAGAGGCCCGATCACCGCCTCATGCGGTGGCGCCACAAATACCGCCCACGACATCCGCATCCTTTCCTTGTTCACCAAGGTTCTGTGCAGAACACCCTTGTACTTGCCATTACTTAGCACCTAATGATAACCACCCCAACATAAATATCAATTCAATTATGCATGCTTGTCGAACAACGATAATAACGTCCGTGGCCTCTGCTTCGCCTGCAGGAAATGTATATTACCTCAAGTTGATCGCCGATGTGGACGAAGAAGGCGTTCTGCAGGTAATCGACGGCTACCCAGTGATCTTGGCTCCAAACTTGAAGGCCGGGAACATCGTTGGGGATAAGTAGGGTGAGGGCTGCCATGTCGGTGTGAGGCTCAACTCCCAAAGCGAGCTCTGGTTGTGGGCATGGCGGATACATGTTTATTTTCATTTCCATTTCCATATTTTCATCTCCCAGGCTGCTTCTCAATGCCTTCTTCTCCAGCCCCAGCCCTTCCGACAGAAGCTCCAGCACCTTGTCTGTTAAGCTCAACAGTTGTTTGGTGTATTCTTCCGTTACTTCCCTGAAATGACGTTAATTAATCTCCACATAAGAAAAACAAGTTAATTGATATGACTGATCAAGCTCTGTTTTTGATGTTCCGCCAACAAACCTGTAGGAAGGAGGGTTCTTGGGCCACATATCATAGTTGACCTTGGAAGGAGGAGTCATCCTATGGAAGTAGTAATCAATCCACTCCACCTTCTGCTCGAGATTCTTGGTCATCTTGGTGCCGTAGCCTTCAAAGCTTCCGGTGGAGGGGTCGTTTGCGTATGCCTCTTTCTCTTTCTGAGGCAAAGCGAAGAACTGCTGGCCCACCTCTTGTAACTGGCTGATCAGAGTCGGCGATATTCCGTGATCGGTGACGAGGAAGATCCCCCAGTCAGAGGCAGCTTCAGCCACTTGCTTGACCAAGATGTCGTGGGGGAGAGACAAAGAGATGACGGGCGCCGTCACACCCTCCACGGCTTTGGTATTCTCTGGCCGTTCATCGGCCGGGCGGATAAACTGAGCAGGAAGCTCCTTCAACAGCCCAGAGGCCAAGCACTGAATTCTTTCAACCTCCATGTATGATATGCGAGAGTTTTGGATATTGATAATGAAGTGAAGTCTTCAAGTCGGATAACTTATTTTATGGTGAGATGGTTATATATATGGATGAGCCACGAAGATGAATGCTGAAACCGCCCGCAACCAAGGAAGTTTATCAAAACTTAATTGACACTAAATGCAAACGGGAGTTATTGAGTTAATTTATAAATATTTGACCTATGCTGATTGTTAACTGTAGCCTCCTTAGACATAGAATGTAAAGGGATGGGAGTTCCAAAAAAATGAGCATTAAATAATCAATATCGAGATTAATAGGAGAGAAAACGACATATAGAACTCGCAAAAGAAAAGGTAATAATGATGAGATAACAAGATGTAAAATTAATTAACATGTAGAGTTATTTGTATAGTCATGCTATGTTTGTCAGATTTGGTATTAGAGCCTGATTTTACCTCTCTTTCGGCTCGCACAAGACTTCCAAAACTGCACTCAAAATCCCCAAAGCCTGTTTCAATCTTCAAGTCGCTGCTCCTGCAATGGTTTCTCTCCGCATTATGACGAGAAGTCCTAGCTCACCCTTCTATTGGGCTCAATTCCTAGGTCTGACTTTGACAAAAACCCCAAAGGCTTGACAATCATTGCTGTTGGGCGTCGAAGACCTTAAACATCATGAATGTTTTTTTCAAAAAAATAATAATATCTCTGTTTGTTAGTATAAGAACTAATTAATTAATTTGAGTAGATTAAAATAAATAGTTAAGTTAATTATTTATAATAAATAAGTATTTTTTTAAAAAAAATATCTTTGCTAATCTAGTATATTGGCTAAAACTACCATTGTTACAACCACTACCTTGAAAAAAAATAGATAAATATGAGAGACAAAATTGATTGGGTCTTATATTTAAAACCAAAATAAAATTCAAATGAACTCTTATATTAAGGATTAGAGGTAGTATTTGTTTGGTAAATAAATTTGATATTTTTTATGTTATGTCAAAAATTTAAAAAAATGATAATTAAAACCCTTCAAGGTCCGACCATATTTAATCTGTCAAAATTATAAGGATTAAAATTGGCAAAGAAGAAAAACAAAACAAAGGGGGATCAAATAAAGTACAGAGGCCCATAAATTAAGATTGAGCCTGAGAAAAAACATAATAAATTAATGTTCAATTTTTAAAAAAAATAATGTCCAATAATACCTTGAATAAGATGTTTTTCAATAACAAAATAAATGTACCTAACAAACGAAAAATGCTCGCAGCTGGCGAGGAGAATAAAGGACCAGGGCCACTTTTTTTATTTTCCTCCTCTTAACCTCTTTTATATCCTAATTACTGGATCAAATTTTTAACAAAATATTTTAAGAAATAAAATTCAAAGCATTCTGCCAATTAATACTATTTATTATGCAAGAATGGCGCCTAGGTAAAAATCTCGTCATTTTATGGATGTTGCAACTTTTTAAACATCTTTAACAAATTTAATTACAATTTCACACCGTCCTCGGGCATGAGAACGTCACGTATCTAGGATCTCGAACTGATCCGCGCCCACTATACCAATCTCAGAGATCCCCTTGAAACTAGGAACACATTCTATAAATTAAACCGTGGGTATGGCAGACTCCAACACAATTTTTACTAATGCCAAAAAGTTCTCATACATAGGTAGAGTATTTTGTAGAATAATAGTTTTGAGTTAAAAGTAAGGTAAAGGGACGCGTACGCAATCATTTGACTGGTTCCTATATAATGTCTCCTCTCCGGAATTGGTTGAGATCTAGTCATAATACGAGTATTATACATGGACTGCATGTGTTCCTCTGCGTGGTGGAGCGGATGTGACGATTAATTGTGAATAAATAATTCATGCCACATAAATAATTATGAATCTCATAATTGCAACCTGTTACGATTAATTAAACAAGGGACCTATAAATTCTATGAACTACAAAAATATGTGCCCCCATGTGCCTGATTTATTCCATCTATAACAGTCATACACTTAACTAGATCCCAACCAACAAAAAAAAAAAAGAAAAGAATACTAGCAGAATATGTATCTCACTGTACATCCCAAAAAATAATACTTCTCCGGCCTAAAACCCAATTTGTAACGCAAATTACACTACAAGGTATGTCTTACATTTGAGTAATAATAATAAGCATCTCACCGTGATCCATAGAAAGCCTGAGTGACTCTGGCGCCAGCTCTGTTGTATGAAAAAGGTAATTGGATTTATGAAAAACAGAATTAAACAAATATGAATCTGGGTAGGCGTCGGGCGAGGCGACTCTAGGCTTCCAAAGAGAATGGCGTATCCAGGAGATCATAAGGAGCCCATAACGCATCCAGTGGACAGGGCCTGTTTGCGTCCAATCGGGCCCAGGGCTTTCCCTTCCCGCTCCAATGCAGGAGGCTCGCCGGGCCCGGGTGCAGCTCCCGGCAAAGTCCCCGGAAGTTGTCTCCTCCCAGGCCGTGCTGGTTCCACCTGTGATCCACCGGAGCTATGTTTCCCGCGAAAACCAGCAAGAACGGCGGCAATGATCCCAGCTCGTAGATCCTCATTCTCTTCTGCAGCTCCATCCACTCCTCAATCTTCCTCGTGTAATCCCCCTCCCGCCATCGCTTCAGATCGATCACCATCACGCCCGTGTTAAAATAACAAGCCCTCCGACCCGAAAATGTGAGCGAAAGAGACGGGTTCGACCAGAAAGACGGCGTGAAGTAATAGGTGAAATTGGCGTTGCAGTATTCCGGCGCGGCGAGGACCGAATGGGAGCCGAGCGGCGTTGCGGCGAGCTTGGCGATGTCGTCGACGAGGACCAAGTCGGAGTCGAGGTAGACGACTTTGCGGACGGACGGCGGGAGGAGGTTGGCGAGGTAGTTGCGGGCGTAGTTGAGAGGGCAGTCCAATGCTGAGCGTATGGAGGAGGAGATGAGGCCTGAGACGAAGGTATCATGAAAAGGGTAGATTCCGAAACGGAGGTAAGGGAAGGAAGTGGAGAGGGTGTGGTTGAGGATGGAGGAGGAGGAAGGCTTGGAGCCGGCGGTGATGAAATGGAATACGATGTTGTCAGGGCAGGAGGAGTGTTGGAGTACGGAGAAGATAGCGGCCATGGAACCTCGAAGGTAGGAGAGGTCGAGGGTCATGGCGACGTGGACAGCGGCATCGTCGTCTTCGGAGGCGGGGCAGGAGGGAGAGTTGTAGAAGCGAGGGGCCTGTTTGAAGCGAAGAGTGGCGGTGGCAATGGTGGGCGGGAAGAAGAAGAGGAGGAGGAGGAGAGAGATGAGAAGAGGGAGGAGTGAAGGAAAAGACATGGCGGAACTGAGAATGGAGGGGGAGGGGGAGGGATGTATAAGAGATTGAGAATGAAGAGAGAGAGGGAAGGGAGAGGAATCCGAGGAGGGAAGGAAGAGATCGAGACGACACTTCTATAGGAGGAGGAGTATCTGTGTATCTTCTTGGCTTTCAACTCAAGTTGATTCAAACCGCCTCCAGCTTCAAACGAACTTTATTTTGTTCTTTTCTCATTTCTCCTACTAGTGATTTATTGGGAGCACTAGAAAAAAAACACGTGTGAAGATGATGAAGGCAGCATATGCTTTACTTCATCTATTTTGTGCGGTTGATTTCTACCTAAAAGAGTCAAAAACAGGCATTTGCGAGAGAATTAATAGGGTCGTAAATGACAGCAGAGGGGCGAGCTGATATTTTTTATTTTAATTTTGTTTGTTTGTTTGTTTGTGAATCAGGGGCAGTGAAGGGGGACGATAGTTGAAGAAGAGGATTTAATCAAGACGAAAAAAGGGTGGAGCAATATGCCATGCATATAATTAAAGGAAAATTACAATCAAATTCCATACAAGAAAAATAACTACTAAAAGGTCTAATAACAACATAAGTAGTTTGTAATGATAAGTTTTAAAGCAGAGAATAACAACTTCTGGAACTTGTTTTGTAATTTTTTTCTTGTATAAGATCTCATTGTGATTCTCCTTATAATTAATAACAAGTGAAATAAATGAAATGAAGAACAATGTATTGTAGGAGTGTCCCTAGCTAAGCTAGTTGAAGGGTGAAGGCAGTTCGTAGGAGTAGGTGATTCCAGGTTTTCAAGCGGTTCCTTCATTTTCTGTGGTTCAGCCATCGACGTCAAGGAAAGCTCTATTGCACCCTCTTCACAAGCTTCTATTTATGGACTTTAGAATCCATAATATGCCAAGCCTCTGAAATGCTTTTCAACTAAAACCAGGCTTCAAAACAAAGCAATTCCTTCTACTCCTATTTCTTCCAATTTCTCACACATATTTTCTCACCATTGGCATTATCTCCTCCACAATTCCAACAATTTTGTACGTGCACAAGTTGTTTACATCTTACTCTGTACAAACAACCAAACTCCAACACTCAGCGCATGTAAATTTAATATAGATAATCATATTCTTTTATATTATTTTCAAACTCAAGAGTAGTTTTTTTTTTTTAATTTGGGGCCATCGAGTAGGTTTCTTATTTAATACAAAATTTGACATTAATGTGATTACATATTTTATATAGTATTATTGTAGAAGTACTCCCTTCAGAATTTTTTACAAGTATTTTCTTAGCTTGAAAATATATAAGAAATAACTGGTCATTGTCTTGTGTATTTATTGAAAAATTTTCTTTTCACCCTCCTTAAGAAAGACAATTATCTTCATTTGTTAATACAAAAAACATGGTCACCATATTAAACAATCAGGAATTTTTAGGGAAAAAAATAACTCTTAACTATATTTATTGATCTTAATTATATTTCTTAATATGCGTGATTTATTTATTTTTTTATAAAAATGTTAGGGTTGAGTATGTTATTAATTAATTGACTTATTTGAGTAGTCAAATTATTAATATTGTGTGAAAAAGAAATATATTTTCCAATTTATGCTTACTAGTCTCTCACATGCAATTTTTTACTCAACTTAATAGAAATAGAAAAGAGTAAATTTGAAAGAAAGAAAGTAAGAAGGGTTAGTATATATAA